GCCCTCTGGGGTATCGGCTACTCCTCCCAGTTTGGTGTCATCAGCAAACTTGCTGAGGGAGCACTCTGTGCCTTCATCCAGGTCATTGATGAATAAATTGAACAGGACTGGACCAAGGACTGACCCCTGGGGGACCCCGCTAGCTGCAGGCCTCCAACTGGACTCTGCACCGCTGATCACCACCCTCTGAGCTCTGCCAGTCAGTGTTCAACAAGTCTATGTTAATTCAACAGCTGAGCGTGTCTCTTCCTTTTTTAATCTTTTTCCCTTTTTCTTTCTTTTTTTCTTTTTTCCCTCTCATCTCTCTCCTTTTAGGCAAAAAAGGAAATGATTAAAACATTTTTGAGCAATTTCTTTTGCTTTCTCTTTAACAGAAGCAAGCCAGCTACACCAAAGAATCACCGAGAGTGTGTACCATGCACCAATGAATTCTTCCAATCTAACCAGGTAACCACAGCTATCATGGTATATCAAGGCCATGTCTTTGACTTGTCTTTGTGCCTTTGCAGTGCATAAATTTTTACTGTTCTAGGTTTAGCTTCATACTTATGAATTTACTCAGTTGTCTTGACATACTTTAAAGACATGTAAATGCAGATAAAAGTTTTGCTCATGGGGAAACTCAAAAGCACAATGCAGAATTCACTTCAAAGATGTTCTTTCGGGTTTGCAAAAGAACTTCGCACTCTATATTAACTTGAAGTTTAAACAAAATGTATTAGCACATTTCCAAGATGTTAAATAGAGATGTCAGCAAATCTTTGTAATGACCCAGTTGCTGGGCAAGTTTAATCTGTACTGGCATGACATAACACTGTAAAAGTTTCATTGTTACTGTTTTAGCCATATCAACCAAATCAAAAGATCCCAGGTAATGCAGGCAGCCTTTGAGAGATGTTCAATTCCATGCGATAAATTTTAAATAGGTGCAGCACTCTTAATCCTGCACCTTGGGGACAGAAGGAGAAAAGGAATCCAATAAGAGATGAAATGCAATCATAAAAAGGTTTCAAATCAATCCAGATGTTTATCCCTTTTACAATGCTCTGGAAGTGAGAGCTTCCATAGCAAAAATTGTACATAGTAATGACAGCAGAGTTAATTAACTCCAGGAAGAAAGACCACGTGATTAGATATTTATCCTGGAGTGGATTAAACCAAAGGAAAAGTAAAATGCTTTTTGCCTTTATTGTACAAACTGTTCCAGAGAAGGAAAAAGTTAGATGATTCCATTCCAGATGCTGGTTTATTACAGTAACCGGAGAAAGGTAGTAAGAATATGGTAAAAGAACAAAGCGTTGGCTTTCTTGAAGGAAACAAGGCACAATCTGTCCCCCGAGCTATTCTAAGCTGAAGCCACCTTGAACCTCTTGCGTGTCTGAGAGGAGCAAAGATGGGGGAATTGCAGCACGAGGGGCTCTACAGTGACTGAATTTGGTGGATCTAGAATTTTGTTAGCCAGTAGAGCCTCTTGTGCAGTCTGTTTTGGCATGCAAAGGTGCTATTAAGCTAGTAACAGTATAGGCCACAGAGCAGTGACCATCATGAGTGGTCTGGCAACGGTTTCATGCTAATTAATTATGGAGATTTTATCCAGCCATTGGAGCATCATTTCCTGGGTTGCCCATGTATTACATGGATTCTCATGTTTAATGGGAATTGTCAACCCTGGGACACTGGGGTAGTCTGTCTGCAGAATATTCCCCCTACCTCTCTGAGCCACAACCATTTTTATCTTTTTTTGTGCCAACGGAGCACTTCAAGATGCAAATTCATGAGATAAGACAAGGTAAATATTGAATGTCACCAAGTCTGGTTCAGTCCATTTAAATCCTTCCTCCATAAACTCTTGCCCCAAGTTTCAGTGCTTAATCCTCAAATGAGGTGCAGTGTGGTATCTGTTGCTGCTGTGTCTCTCTCAAGGGTTGGCTGCTGCATTTTGGTGGTAATAAAACATTCGCTTTGTATTGTTTTCTAATCTATTTAGATATATGGAAATTAAATAGACTATTGTTCTAGCTCCTTAACTATCAGCTTTCTTGGAAATAACCAATTTGGTCATACATCCATGTAAGGACATTCTGTGCTCACAGGCATATACAAAATTTTTCAAACACTTGGAGTTTTCTGCACATGCTGTTTTCAGGAAGCTGGTGTGTTTTGGGGTTCTTCTTTCTTTTTTTTTTTTTTTGGTGTCTTTCTCACAGCTGTAAATCTTTGCCTCTATCAGCTGCATGTTTCACAGTTATCTCATTCTAGCTAGGAAGGAACAGAGAAAGAAGAATAAGGAAATGTGAGTGTGCTTTGGATTTGTTCCCTTATTTATTTTGTGGCCCTCATCTTGTACCTGACAACAGGCTGCAAAATAACGTTTGGATTTGGTGCAGGAGGCACCAGCAACCTTGGTTAAGGTTCCATGAGAAGCAGGGCAGAAGTTCAGATATGAAGCAGTTGGTCTCAAGCTGCCTTGCTGTTAGAAATGGTTTTCACAGATCTCTAGTCTTTCAAACATTTTAAGAGTTTGACAATATATTAGGCCTTCCCTTACATCACGACGGTCACCATCAGTGTTAAGTGTAGAAATTTGTATTTTAATTGTGAATAGCAAGGTAATTGCCCCTCGTCTGAGCTCCTGTTGCAGATAGGGTTCTTAAACGAACCTGCTTAGGTTCATTTTTGATGAATAGAAGAAACAGAGGCAGGGGGATCCTGGAACAAGTGGAACCCATATGTTTCTGTACACGCAGTCTGGCTTCTAGGTGATCAGTGCCACCAGGATCCGCTCCTCTCCTGGAGCTGCACATGCTTGTGCTGCTAAGGATGAAAGGCTGACGTCTTTTCTTCTCAGTTTCCCATCCCTTCCTTCCAAACGGGTAGGATTTGCAAGGAGAGCTCTTGCAGACTTGACCAGTTCCTTCTTGTATTTTTCCCTCCTCCTCAAGACAGATGAAGGACTTCACTTACAACGTGCTGAGCCGGGGCTAGTGTGGCTTCTTCTACCATCCATAACAACTGCACAAATGCAGACTTTCTCCACAGACACAGATTTTAAAATCTGAGCCCTCTTCCATATTTGAGGGTGAAAAAACTGCTTGGCTTTGTCAGCAGGATAGTATCTGACTATCCTTAAGGTGTTAAGTGGGAACCTAATATTTTTTTTTATTTCTTTTGTCCGAAGGTATGGCAGGAAGTCATCGAGTTTATATGAAAATAAATCGGAGACATCCAGTGTAGAAGCATCTAACAACAAAAACAGAAATTCCAGTCCAAGCGCCAGGCAAAAGAGAGGTAGGAATTCTGAGACAGAGCTTTTGCTTCCAGAGGGTAGTATTTTTTATTTTTGCACAGTAATTTCTGGAATTTGATGAAGGTATTGTTGAAGCCAAATATTAAAACCACAGTCCTACAAAGCCGAGTGACTGAACTGTGAAACTTGAACACTAGAAAAGTGTTAGTAGTTTAGGATTTTTTACGTGTCAGTTTTGATGTATTACAGCTGTGTTTAGACAACTTTTATTCTTTAAAGATTGGATTCTGGGAGTCTAGTGTGATTATTTTAACCCTCCGTATTCTGTCTAATTTTTATTTATAGTTATATGTAATTCTAAGACTGTTCAAGCAGTGGATTAACAAATTTCCCTTTTTTTTGTCAAAGGGTTTTTTCCCCCCTCTGTGTATAGGTTCCTTTCTAGTGTATAGTTAAAAAAAAATACACATGTGGTCATTGAAAGTGCTATTTGAAGGCGTAAAAGCAATAGATATATTCTGCACAATGTAGGTTAAAGTGAACAGTGCAAAGAAATTGGATCTCATCTGGTGGCAGCAGGAACAGAAATTATTTCAACAGTAGTTTCTCTTTTGAGTATTATTTTGAAGTGTTAGAGCAAAGACCTTTCTAATAATATAAAATATTAGATTGCAAGGTCTTAAAAGGAAAGAAGAGATGAAGGTCCAATTTCATCTTAAAATAACAGCAGATCTATTTATTAATAGAGATGATCAAGAAATGTGGAAATATTTTTTCTCTGCAAACAAGGTCATTGACCAAAAGATTTTGCATTGCAATAATTTTCATTCTGGAGAAAAAGTTAAGGATTCTTTGTGGGAAAAAAAATCCAATTTTATTAAGTAAAAAAAAGCCTCTTTTGGTAATTTTTTAAAGCAACTTTTGCTTTTGACCACTGTAACATAAGAAATGCTAAAAAGCACATTTTCATTTTAAATTTACAAACCGTACTACTGGGAGAGTTATTGGCATTTTTAGCTCATTCAGTGCACACAAGTGTACAAACCGGGGGTGCTGGGCACTTTGCTAGCGAGCAGCCCTTGGGCTGGTTTTCATTTCTGGGTCCTCTGCTCAGCTTAGCTCCGGGCTGTCCCTGCGGCTCCTTCCCTGCTCAGCACCTCATCCCCGTCCTCTCCTGCTCCGTGGCCATCCCGAGCAGTGGGTCCATGTCTCGGTTTGTGTTGGGCTGTGCATCCTGCACTGCCGTGCGTGGGACCCGAGGGAAGAGCTCTGCAGCTGGGATGTCCCTCCGGTAGCTCTTTCCGCAACACGGAGTGCAGTGCTCTGTTAAGGCTGTCTCTTTTGTGCCACCTACTGACTCCAATACTACCAATGTGTAGCTAGTGAGAGTAAGTAGAGATTATTTTCAGTTATTTTCTTTCCATAGTGTGAAGCGTAGGGACAGCACTATCAGCTCCATCATTCTTATGGATTTACTTATGTGCCTGTGACTATGAGCTGTTTAGATATAAAGTAGTATTTTGCATGGGCCTGATCTGTAAATTCACTGACTGGAACCATATGGGAACTGACTCTCCTGCAATAGGGTAACACAGAATTGCTGTGGTTGGAAGGCACTTCTGGAGATCATCTAGGGCCATGTCCAGTCAGGTTTGATCATTGTATTTTTGTATTTTTAAACAGAATTTCCTGTATATCAATGTGTGCCCACTGCCGCTTATCCTGTCATTGGGCACCTCTGAGAAGTGGCACACAAGTCTACTTCTTTATTTTTTCCTGTTAAGTGTTTATCCACACCAAAAAGATCTTCCCACGAGCCTCTCCTTCTCCAAGATGAAGAATGCCACCTCATTCAGCTTCTCCTCATATGGGAGATGCTGCAGTCCCTTAACGGTGTTAGTGGTCCTACTGCTCCTGACTGGCCTCCAGCCGGGCTCCTTGCTGCTGATGACAAAGCCCGGCAGTTCGGCCAGTTTCCAGTTCCCCTCACTGTCCACTTACCTTGTCCATTCTTTATCAGCTTGTCAGTGAGGAGGATGTCATGAGAGACAGCACTGAAGGCTTCACCCAAGTCAAGATAAACAATATCCAGTGCTCTCCTTTGGTCCCCTGAGCTAGTCATTCCATCATAGAAGGCTTCCAGGTTGGCCAGGCATGATTTCCCTTTTGTTAGGCTATGCTGACTACTCCCAATCACCTTTCTATCCTTAAAATGTTTGGAAATGGTTTCCAGAACTATACGATTACCCTGCAGAATGAAGAGAAAGATTTGAAATACCTCAGTTGGAGAAAGCATGTCAAGGTCAGCCCCTAATGAGTGCTTGGTGCTGAGAAGCTATGGGGACTTGTGGTAAAGACCTAGCGCATCCCTCAGGAAGTGGTACAACTGCATAGCTGGATAATCAGCATATAAACCTTCTTCCTGCACACAGGCATGTGCTTTTCTCATGACTCTATGATAATCGAATACTGTGGATTTTCCTGCTATCTGGATGGAAACTGAACGTATTTTATATTTCCATTTCTGGTTTCTTCATAAATTAATCCAAGCAGTAGGATGGAGCTGGTCACCAGGCCAGTGGTATCTTTACAAACATTGCCTAGCAGTGGGAGCAGTCACAGCAAGGACTGGCTCTGGGGGCTACACGGGCAGTCCAAAAACCAAATACTTCCTAGTGCACCCATGTCTGGCTCTGCAGCTGCAACAGGATGGGCATGACCTGCTCACCAGGGGCTTCTGCCTGGCGCCAGGCCCCAGGATGGAAGGAGCTGAACTGCTCTGATGTACTGGACTTGAATTGTTCCCATCTGTTCAATTCATGCCCTCCTACATCACGGCAAGGACTGGCTCTGGGGGCTACACGGGCAGTCCAAAAACCAAACGCTTCCTAGTGCACCCGTGTCTGGCTCTGCAGCTGCAACGGGATGGGCATGACCTGCTCACCAGGGGCTTCTGCCTGGCATCAGGCCCCAGAATGGAAGGAGCTGAACTGCTCTGACGTACTGGACTTGAATTGTTCCGATCTGTTCAATTCATGCCCTCCTACGCACTCAGGCACCCAGCTCATTTCTCTCCTGGAATATCTTGGCAGCAAGTCAACAAGTGATGGGATGAGCTGTCCTTTGAAAGCACAGCATGTCTGTGTCACTTGTCAGCCAGTTTGAACTCATCGTCCATCCATGTTTCCTTTGTATTTCTGGTCTTCATTTGTGTCTCTAATGATTGGTACTTGGCAGCATATGAAATAAAGCGAAGGAATAAGCTAATGGTTAAAAACTATGGCTCAGAATCAGGCAGGTTGACACATGGCTTCTCTCCTGGTCCTTTGCCACAAACCTTTCCTGTGTTGCCTGTCCACCGCCCAGAACGTGGCACGTGCCTAATTTGGCAGGAGTACATGGATCTAGGGGGATGGATTTGGTGCCCACGGTCAGCTCTGGACGCTGTGGCAGAGCGGGGAGGCTCAGCGCGAGCAGCCGGGCTCCACAGCGCTGGGGCAGGCGCGCAGGCCGCCTCACGGGCCTGCTCTCTGCACGGGCTGCTCTTATGTCTCACCTCAGCCTTGCTGTTCCAATCACAGTGACATGTTTTCATTGTAAACAGCTTCAGAGCCTTTTTAATGAGCCTGCTGCTAAACTGTATTTTCCTTTGATGAGAGCAACATCGCTTCACCTGCTTTTTTTTTTCTCCTTTTTATTTGTTTGTGTTTTCTCCATTGAAACTCAGTGAGCCAAATTCAGCCCAGGGGCTCTGTTTGGCTCAGCTAGTTTAACTGCCCTGACCTCATGTCACCTTCTTAATTGATTGAGCTCTTGCTCAGGCCTGAACTGAATCAATTATTTATTTATGTTTGGTTGGCATCCAGTGTTAACCTTTCCTTTCCCCTAAGCTGAAAGGTTGACCCTTCCTTCCTTATTTCTCTTCCCTCTCCCTCTCTCTCCTAGTTGATGCTTCCACCAGCCTTAACCTTGAGCGCACAGCGCTTGCTAGAAAGCGATTCACATTGCAAGGTCTTTCCAACCGCAGAGCTCCTCCCAAAGGTAAAATCACCACATGCAGCATTTGGTCTCTGGCCATCTGTCTCCCGCACTCCCACAGTGTTTGCTCCATCCCATAGCACCATCCATCACTATTTCCTAACGTGCTGCTGCATCCCACCGAAATGTGCCTGTCTGATACACACATACGGCTCCTGTTCTCAAAAGTTGCTCCCACAGCAGTGTTGGCAAGGCAATCTTTGAGTTGGCTGGTTGTCTCTTTTACTGGGGTACAAAGTGCAAGTGATTTTTCTTTCCAGTTTCTCTCAAAGGCCCAAGTGTGAAGACTCTTTAAACCACCACAGCACCTAACTTCTTTCAGCAATTTATTGGCTTCAAGGAAGGAATATGATGGCTGTGCTGCAGTGGGTTTTCATGTGTTATATAGGTCACTGGTTGCATCTCTTTGGTATGTTAAATGTTGCTCAGGCACTAAGGAACTATTCTAATGGTTCTGGGGAACTGGGATTCAGAAGATCAGGGATTTACTGCCATTTATTCTCTAATTAGGTTATGTGGCAGTGCACAGGTCACTTCAGCTCTGTTTTTCCATCTGTAAAATGGTATATTCTAAATCTTCATGCCTATATGTTTAGAAAGAAACTTAATATCCATCAGTAGAGAGCATTCATTGCATGTTCCTGTGATGGCTGTGCTAGCAAGAGACTTTAGAAGAAAGAAATGCAAATAGAAATGAAGTTGTACAGTTATATTCACAATCAGATAACATAAAAATTCATGTTATTACTATTTTTTGTTTCTCTGCTGATAAATGTCTTTTTTTTTCCTGCCCTCTAAGCTGTAGACACTCAGCTCAAAGTTTTACAGGAACTGGGTGTGACTTGAGATTCCTTTAACCTGTCTCCGCTACCCAGTGTCCCAGGTTTGCTCATTCCACTTCTGCTGTTCAGCTATTGGCAGGAAACCCAGTATGGAAAGTGCAGCTTGCAAATGGGCTGGATGATTGTCAGAGTGTGGTCATTTCTGCAGACTGTGATGGCCCCAACTTTGTTGCACTACATGGATTGGCTTATGAGACAACAAGACAGACAAGAGGCTGTGAGGTGGAGGTTATGATGTCCTGCTCTTGTCCCTTTTGTCTAAGGATCCATTACTGGCCATGGCAGGAGACGGCATTGCTGAGCTGGGTGCTCCTGGGTCTGGCCTGGTGTGTGGTCATGGCCAGAGCACACAAAAGGATAGTTTGAGCGTTCAGGTGATGAGACTAACTAGAGGGAAACTAAGGTCGTCTGATGGAGCCCAGCTGGCAGTGAAACCATTGCAGAACCCTCTCACCAGGCTGGAAGGAAGCACTCTGCAGAAGCACTGGCTGTTTTGGCCAAAGAGAGGCCCGTGCCTGGAGGAGAAACATCACCATCCTGCCCTCTGTTAATGTGGGGACCCCCAAGGCAGCAGCCCTAGATGTGAAGGCCCAGACCCATAGCTCCCCGCTCGGCTTCTGCCACTGCGGCTGTCCTGTTGTCCACGTTCACGTTCCTTGGAGCTGACATAGGGTCTCTAAGAGCAGCAAAACATGCATGTAAATATAGTCCAGTGTCACAATTAAAGTCAAATTTTCTTTGGATATCATTAAGGGTAGTTACAGCAGCATAAATGTGGAACACTAATTCCCTTGTAATTGTCATCAAAGGCAGAGTTTAGCTTCTCATTTTTCTTCAGCTTTTTAGGAGCTCTGAATACAGACATACTTGAATATATGTGCTTTTATGAGTAAATTAACAGGGAACAGCATGAGGTAGTCACAGAATTTACAGTCTTCTTATGGAGGCAATGGTAGCCAATATAAAGTTAAAATTGCACTGAGATTTATAGAAACTATATAAAGTTTCCTGATGTTTTGGCATAATAAAACCTCATAGATACTGAGTCCAACAAATCATGGTCATTTCTGCTCTACTGGAGACAAACAGTTAAAGTGCTGTTCCATAGGTAGAAATAAGGAATAAACAAAGCAAAGAGAAAATGTATGTGTCTTAACACTGAAAGAGAAATCTGAGGGTTAGGAGTAGGAAAGAGACTTTTAACATTTCTGTCAAATCTTCACAGTAGTATAGTTTTTTTATTTGTTTTTTAAAAAAGCATACTTTAAAACCACCTGAAATTTATTTTACTCAGTTCTATATGAAAAAAATTGCATAAGTAAAGCAGTACATATGCTTAGAGGGTTTGCAGCTGCAGAGACTAGAAATTAATCCTGAAATATTTCTAAGTGAGCAACCCTTTTTCCCAAGTAGTCCTGCTGTAGTTGGTAGGCATAAGAAGCATCCAGATGTCCATACCCTCATGAGCAGACAGACTCTCTTAGGAGCTGCTTAATGACCTTTATGTGTTTTACAGCATTTGTGCTCTCCAAAGCTAGCAGCCAGTTTATACCTTTGATCGGTTTGTGACATATTTTGAGTAAAAAATGCTATTTGCGCTTCACAAAAATGTAACGAAGTTGTGCCTTCGCGAAGAGGTGTGATCCTAACTAGGATAAACCAGAAACACTCTGTTGCCTTCACTTTCTCCAAGCTGCTTTACACTATGGTAGGAAGGGGCCTCAGAGAACGTTTTAAGGTGTTCACACAGTTAACTTCCAGAAATGACATGTGAACTCTCCCTGTGAATATTTGTTTTTTAGGGTATTTCAGATCAGTCATCACAGAACAAGCAGTTCAGCATCTTTACAATAATGCATCATCTGTAGACCCACATCATTCTAATCATCATGCTCATCCCTGTTTGTTTCGTAGATTTGCTGCCAAACGCTGTTAACAGAGTGTGTTCATCAGGGTCAGTTTTTATAAATCCAGGAGGTTCCAGCAGGGAAGAGTCAGGATCAGAGGATATAAAACATGTGGCATGACAGGCCAAGCAAGACATTTTGAGGTGCAATGAGACGTGCTCCTAGCACATATATAATGACTCTATTCAGCTTCTCTGTGATAGGCTTCAAAGAGTGGTGCTGGTCTCCATGGAAATTGGGTTAATTTTTGGCCGATGTGGGGTTAGGTTCCCAGCTTCTCCCTGGGGCTGGATTCATTGAAATGCAATAGAAATTTGGTTTCCAGTTCCTTGAAGCTGTTCAGAAATTTTGCTGTCAAGGACAGAATCTTCTCACTGCCTAATAGGTATCAGGTAAGAAAGCCAGAAATCAAGCCAAAAATAGCAGCGATAGTTGTCACTTTAAGCACATTTACCACAATTGCACTCATGGTTAGCAATAATGATTGAAAGGAAGTTTTCAGAAGTGTTTAAGGCAGGTAGATGCCCAGAAGGCCATGACTTCTACACATTTCCTATGGGAGCTTGTAAATGTTTTATTCCTGAACGAAAATATTTTGAGAAAAGGCACGTGTACAAAAATTATTTTAAGTTATTACATGACTGCCTACATTCAGCAGCAACATATGCATTTTGGTAAGTTGGTAGTGTTGAAAATCAGTGGGATTTTAGGCTCAGTAAATTTTGGGGAAAAAGGCTATATTCATTTGTACAAGCAACTTTGCTACTCGTTTGTCAGGAAGAAGGTTACTCAGTACTCCATGCAGAATGCTCTAAATAGCTGTGAAGGGCATGATCCAGTCTTTGACTGTGCAAAGGACTGATCTCATAGCTCTCTACCCTCTGCATCAGCTTCAGAACTATAGGGTAGTTATCTAGGGTTAGTTATCTAGGCTATTGAAAGACTACTAACAGGGAGAGTTATTAGCTAAGTCCAGAAATGGAAAGAAGTGGATACTCAGAAAAGGACTGGGCAGCCTAAGTTGTACTTTAGTATGGTTTGCTGAAGTGTGCCTGTGTGAATTACAATTAAATTTAAGTTTATTGAAGTTTTATGTCTAGATAAGATAATATTTTAGGTTTATATAACATGTCTAAAGTCTTGCTTCACCCTTAGCCAAATACAAGCCTAGCCAGGATGTTTGGATTACTTCATTCGAGGACACTGTTTGCTGCTGTGATCCTCACTCCTAAGTGCTGAGCCCTGTCACAGCTTGGCTGCTCAGCACGTGTAATCAGGACCCAGCAGAAAGAGCAGTGCAGGTGACAAACGGAGATTGCAAGTTCACGTGTGTTAGTGCCATCTCCTGGCAAGGGAGGGAGGAAACATCTGCATAACTTCACTGGAAGCAGATGCATTTTCTGTGACTTAATGTCTCTTGCAGAAATGGCCCCGTTTCTTATCCACATCACGGAGGTGTTTATTTCACCCCCTTTCAACATAGGCATTAGTGATTTTTCTGAGTGGAGCTGCTTTTTGTTTTTCTTTTCCTATACTTTAAATATTGGGCAGGTGCGCTCATTCCAGGTCATGTTGTCAGGTAATTGGAAAGCGAGTTTTGCCTTTAACAATATTTACAGCCTTGTGACTCTGCAAACTTCACACAGGTCCCCTTGTTCCTGCAGTTAAAGTCAAGAGACATGAAATAAAGAGTGACCCAACTCCCCTGGGGTTTGAAGGTACGAGTATTTCCATCCTGCATGAAAGCCTGTTTGGCAAACTCTTGATCCCATCCACTGAATCCACATCTCATCAGGGCTGGTAAATGACACTGGAGTCCATATAGGCATTAGGGGCTTGGTGTCACCTCATTCTTCTTACAGCCACTGTTTGCCACCTCCTTGCCTGCCCCCTGCATTCACGCTATATTTACCAACTAAATTAACCTCCCAGATCAGTGCCTCCTTTGGGAGGTGATGGTCTAGACCTGTGAGCTGGGTCTGGATTTTCTGACTAGCTTCTCCCCCTTCCCATGAAATGGGAAGAGAGGTCCAGGCAGCAGCAGTTGGCCAAGGGGCTACTTTTCACCTTCACGCACAGTCTGGCCACTTGCACCCCTCTTCCCTTGTCAGGGGCTACAGCTAAGGAATGGGAAGAGCTGGAGGCAGGTGCATGAGGAGTACCAAGGAGGCTAGGCCATACATTAATATCCATTTAAGGTGCAGTGTTTCATTTCAGCCAAGCAGACTTTCCAGGTATTTATTGCAGCAGGATCATTGGTTACAGTTTAATAAATAATATCAAAGAGTGAAACTGGGAAGCGGTTCCCCAGACACTGGAAGATCACCAGCTTTCGTTGCCAACGCTCTCACTTACATCCACATCTGCCAGAGCATCCTGCCCTGCGGGGAACAAGCTGCAGGGCAGCCCCCTCACAGCACAGGGACAAGGAGGACACAAGCTGAGGAGTCTTTGCGTCTGATCCCGTTGCTCTGCACAAAACCTGCCTAGAAAGGGCAAGTGGCCACATTAGTGGTAGCATCGGTGACATACTCAGAGCTATCTCCTGTGTCAGTCCCAGCAGAAGAGGAGACTGGAACAGAGAGCTTGGAAGAAACATTTCAGAGGCAGCAGATGAAACAGTGGTTTTGGTGCAGAATGTTTCTTGATAGTGACCCCTGGCACTAAGCTCAGGACCATCCTGACACCCAGCACCAGAGTTTCCTGAACTTTGATGCTTGTACTTCACTTTCCTCAACAATATCTACTTGTCATCTCACCACAGCATGTAACTACAGAGGCAGGGCGTTTTTCAGGGCTTGGGTACTGTTCTCAGAACTAAGTTCATTCTCACAAGTTGAAAGTTGTGTCCTACTGAGCCTTTTTAATCATCATCATCCCACTGCCAGCAGATATTGCTGCTGCTGCTAGAGCTCTGGCAGAGTTAATAACACTCAAGGTACAACTTGCATTGATACAAACTCCCCTACAAAATTGCATCCATCAGCAGTGATATTAATTTCTGGTTGGGAAGAACAGGCTCCCTGGTCATCATTTCCATTGCAGTATGGATGGGCATCAAAAGCAAATGCCATCACCAACAGAATGATCCGAGATGCTGCAGGGAGATTACATTAAGAAAAATGCACAAGGAATCTGTAGTGAAATGGAGCACTGCACCGTTCACTCAGCAATCGGTGTCATTAATTAACCTCACTATTTCTGCTTGGTTCTTTAGGTTGTTCTTGGTCCATCTCTAATTTTTACTGTTTTTATTTTTTATTTTTTTTTCCTTTTGGAATACTGCTGCTGTTTTTCATTCATCTTTTTCTAAATGTTGGAGCCCAGTCCACTTGTCTGTTAAAGAGACTACCAGTTGCAGAGGTGACACAGGGATTCACATTGCACTGGTTGTCTGATCACTATTTCACTTTTAAGACACAAAATTGTACTTCCTGTCACAGATGCTTTTGAGAACGCCATATTGGCCCAGACTAAGTGTAGTACCGGTTCCACCTCAAGACCAGTACCTAGATCTGCTTCACAGACAGGTAAATGGAATTAAACCATTATTATTAACACAATTTAAGAGCATAACTTAAAGATATCTCTACCTTTTTTTTCCATATAATGAATATCATTTTCTTTGAAAGCAATGAAAGACCAAGCTGGGGTGATCTAGCAGGTATAGAAACAATGTACCAGATTCTGGTTTTGTGTAGTTCAGGTACTGTTGAAAATATTTCTTTGATCTGATATCAGAGAGTTCAGAATTTGATCTGTGTTATTTTGTTGCTTGAATGAAGTATGTAAATCTTACTTAGACTCTGTAGTCTCTGAACTTGCAATAGCAATTTATGAGGAAGAAGAAGGCCAAGATGATGGCAAGTATGATAAGAAATCCTTCTTACTTCAGCTACTGCCTTTTATCCTTCCTACAAAGTAAAACGGCAACTGAAGCTTTGTCCAAGCAGGAAAGGATATTTCTTTTTCTTTTGGTGTTTGCAGCTCAAAGATTTGAGCTGTGAATTGAACTAAAATTGCTCTGGCGGCATAAAGCTAATTAGCACTGATTTATTCTTGTCCTTGTAGTTGGGTGGTACAGTTTTGCTGGTGTCATCCTATTGGCATGCAGGGCCCAGCTCTATATTCTGCATAGTCTGTAGCTGCAGTTGTCTCCCTGCCCCGAAAGCTCTCTTGGTATTGACCCATGGTGTGGACCTGCACAACCCAGCACACGAACCCCGCTCCATAGACTAGCTCATCCCTTGAAAAGCATCACCTGGTGCCATAACCTGTGTAGGGTTGTTAGTGGTGGAGCTGCCCTGGTGGAAGGAGGCTGCTGGCTCTTGTTCCAGAGCGGGTGATGGGGCGGCTGCAGCCCCTCTGCAACGGGAGGGAGGACACGGGGACGTGCGGCAGCGTGATGCTAAGAGCGGTGCCTATGGGAGGAAGGATGAGGATGGGGAGGGGTTAGATAAACTATCAATAAGGCTGTGACTGCCAGCTCAGGCTGCTTTTCTGCATCCTCTGCAACTCTCCAACCTGCCCTGCACAGAGCTGGTGATGCTTGGGGACAGGTTTTGCTGTGGCTTGACCATAAATCCCCCGTGTGAGCAGCTGCTTCTGTGCCTGGTGGCACAGCTCTGCTTTGGCACTCGGGGAGCAATGACCCCCGAGCTGCACGGAGCTGGATTCCACGTGTGCTGCCTACGGGCCCGTGGATGGGCAGACACACAGCGGGGGCAGCAAGGAGGCAGGCACGGGGCGATGGCACCGGCTCCCCTCGGCTCGTACCCGTCCCGGCTGCAGGACCCCTTGATGGACACGAGGTTCCTTCTTCCTGGCTGTATCAGAAAGGGGATAGACACCCAGTGCGATGGAAAGCACGGAGCAAGAGTGCTGTCTGTCCAGGAGAGACAGAGGAATCTGTCCATTCTGGGAGCCTCGAGCAGGGGGGGCTTAAAGGCTCAGGCTGCAGCCCATCCGCACGGGTTTGTGCATGGGGTCGTGTGCTTGGGCTGGGGATCCCTCCCTCTCGTTAGTCCCTTCCCCTGTGCGGTGCTGTGAGATCTTCTTTCCTCCCAAGCAAAGTGCTGTTTTCGCAGTGCCTTGTTCTGTATTCTGCCCCTGCCCTGCGTCTCAAGCCTGTTTCAAGGTCTTGTAACTTGCTCAGGTGCTGGCATCAGCTTGGGGTGAGAAGTGGACAGAAACTCAATGCCTTTGGGTCCTGTGTGTCAGATAAATAGATGGAGGTAAGCTGAAAAGAGGAGGATGCCATGCTGAAAATCACACCAGCAAATTCATCATTTCCTGGTGCATTTATTCTGCTGAAACAACCCTGGCCCTTGCTTTTCGAACATCCTGAACTGAAATATGGCATGCTAAGCACACAGTGTATTGATGCACACATCTTATGGCCATGCAATCTGTCATCCCCCAAATGACAGCAACAAGTACACGTTTCAGAGAGATGGTAATGACTGCAGCATAATTTTTATGGTGAAATCCATAAAAACAGCTGTAAAATGGTCCAAGCACTTCAGTAAGTGGAACAGTGGGAAGTGAAACTGTGACATCTATTATTTTAAAAGCTTGAGCCTAGAAGAGCCTGATGACCAATAGGTAACTCTGGTTTTTGTTTCATCTCCTTTGAAAAGGTTGGCCCAGCAGGCAGCTGCCATCTCTAGACACGTTTGAAGATTTCGAAGCCATCCCCTCCAGCACAGATGAACTCTCCAACTCTTCTGACATGGAGGAAGAGACCAACCCTAACAATGTAAGGTCCTCTTCCAAAATTCACTTTGACACTTCTTTTAAGTACAGCACTTAACTTGCAAAGTTTGGGTTTACACCAGCCTTACAGTCATGGAAGTATGGGAAGACAGGAGACTGTGACTTGGGGTGTTGGAGCATTTTTTCCAAGGTTATTGTATGCATCAGGATCATAGGAGTCATTCTTACTTCCAAGCTGCAGCTTTTACCTTTATAGGAGGAAGTTATTCCTAAGAGTAACTTTGTAATGGAAAAACTGTGACCCCTTTAAAAATAAGTAATTTCAGGTTTTTTTTCCAGATTGCTTAAGCTTATGTCTCAAACCCAATTTCTTTGACATAATAATGATAGGTTGATTAATTCTAACACCTGAATGCTCAGGACAGTTCTGTTGTGAGATTGAAAAATGTTTAACCTGGGCATGATAAAGAGAATGAAAAGTGACAGAATTCCCTAGAGAAGAACTCTCTGGCTGCTTGCAATGCCTACTTCTGTGTTTAACCAAAGCATCTCTCTCTGGCACAGCATTCCTTCATCCATGCTGACTTGTATTCCCGGTGTGTTGTTTTGTTTATTTTAGGGGACCAATCTCTTCCGGGTAGAAGGCAGCTTTGACAGCTGCTTCCCAGATTCTCTCACACTGGAGGATGGAGATTTAGTGCAGTTTGTGCAGGAAGGAGAAAATGGGCAATGGTAAGTACAGGAGCGAGACAGAATATAGCAGCTAGAGCAGCTGTAACCTTCTGGGAAAGGTGCAAGATGTTTAGAAGAATGTAAAAGCATTCCCAAAGCGCTTGTGCCATGAGCTCCAAAAGACAGAATTTTGCATGAAGGGAAACGGGAATACTGGAGCTACGGACACCTCCCAGCAAAAAAAAACTCTCAAAGGCAGCCTGCTTCCATAGGATACATCAGTAAAATCCCCATGCCTTCAACAGAGCTGTGCCAGTGAGCCTGAGAGTGTATTTAGCCCCAAAGGCTTAAATATAAGGCTATGCTCAAAAGTGACTGACGAAGTGGAAGGAATCTGAGCTCACATACCTTCCAGCATATGTATCATCACTTGTAGAGCAGTGGTTTATCAGCGTTGCTGAGCAGAGGTTTGGCAGAAGAGACTCTGATCTCCTTGCAGGACCCTGGCAGCCGCTCATGGGTCCCTCTTGGAAGAGGTGCAGCTGAGGTGGGAGCAAGCCCAGGGGTGGGAGGTGAACTAAACGCATCCACTTTGGGGGATATTTACTGCAATCCATGGCAAGAGAATGGAGGGAAATGCACTGACTGTTCTCTGCGTTTCAGGTTAGTGAAGAAACTGGTTTCTGAGAAGAGCGAGTGGGTTCCTTCCAGTATATTGCAGCCAGCAGAGGGGGACAGTAACAACGTAATTAAGAACAGCAATGCAGGTAATAGCAGCAATATCTTACTGGTATTGGAAACTGCTTCCACTTGTCCAGCTTTCTTCTTTTTTTATTTGCTCTTCTAGCTGAGCTAGCCTGAAATCTGCCACCTTGGGTGTCAGAGCTCACCAGGCACCGCAGCTTGGTCTTGGCTCGGTCTCCTTGACTTCCCCTTCTCAGGCGAATTTGCGTCTCCCTCTCAACTGTTGCTGCTACCAGGACCTGGGCTGGCTACTTTAAAACTAGCCCAGTGCTTACAGGGTGTGCAGTTAACTGCTTTCCTCAACGCAGGTGGTATTTGGATTTACATCAGCATCAGTACCATGACTCTGATCTGGCTTTGAAAACATTAGTCTCATGAAACATTAATGCTTTTACCTTATTTCCACTGCTGGCTCCAAAGGCTGGAGGAAGAGCAAGTACAGGGGAGACCCCAGTCAAACTAGAAGTCACCTTTTGCCCAGTTTTTGTTCAGATCTAACATCCAGATCTAACATGTTGCATCAGAAGAGCTGAATCTCGGCAAGTCTTCAGATTAAATGCTTTTTTAATTATTATATTTTTTTTGCCTGTCCTTAAACATAACTGACCAAACATGCCCTGGTTTTCTCTTGGTCAGAAGAAAGAAAACCTTGGCACGTTCCCTGGAGGCCTACAATAGAGAGCTACCAGTATTTTATGTTTTAAAAGGAAAAGAAATCCACATATGTAACAGCTAGCTATTGCCCAGAGAGTCTCCCTTGCCTTTTACGGAGAAAAGTGGTAGAACTGTGATTGCTTATTTTCTTTTTTTATTATTATTAATTTTTTATTTACCTCAAGCTTCTATTAAGAAATCTCAAGACTATAGATGGAAAATGCTTTAGATGTGTCATAGTGACGGTGCCCATGTCCTCCTTTTTCAGATATGTACCATGACTCCTGCAGCATGGCCTCGGTAGAGTCAGAAACCAAGGAGAGCGAGGTGGCCAGGAGCTTACCAGCAGAACAGAGGGCTGGCAGCTGAGCTGCAGGATCACCCTTCCTCAGGACTCCATCCATCTCTCTGTTTTGGGTGGACACTGGATCAAAGTTGCCTTTCTCACAAGCTCTGAGCTTCACAATCCAGTAAAACTTCATCAGCATGAGAACTGTGGTCTCCAGCTGGCAAGTCGGGAAAAAAAGATCTTGAAAGCAGCATCAAACATCCAGAGAGCATCAACAACCACCTTCAGTATTATGGGAAAAAATGCTTCTTGCATTGTTTATCAAACTGTTTCAGAAGATGTGGCCTAAATTAGGTCAACAGTAGAGCTGAAGAGTTACTATGCACGCACCTATTGGCAACTTTGCTTAAACACCAAGTTACTGCAGAGGGATGTAGGTATGGTTGCGAGTTCTTGCTCTACCATGGGGTTGCCCGGAGGCTTTTCCATTTGCTTGCCTCAGTGGCTGTGCCTTCGCCATCCTCCTTAATTCCAGCGGATACATCACAAATGTGCCCTTCCTCCTGATCAACACCAAAAACATCACATTTTAAGGTGGTTGTGGAAAGAAGACTTCTGATTTGGACCATCAGAGAGGCTTCGCGCAGTGAGGACATCATCACAGTGAACATCCCATTGCCTACAGCGTTATCTTGGGTGATGCAGGTGGCAAGTCCTGGCTATGAGGTGGAGGTGCAGGGCTTAGCAGGGAAGAGTGTGACAGCTACTGTGACAAAGAAGACTCTTTTTACAACATAAGTCATTCCTCCGCCCACCTCTGCAGTCTGTGGTTGCTGGATCAGATTCCTTCACGTTTGGTGCTGAGAAATTCATTGAATGCCATTTAATGTCATATGTTTGAGTAGACTGCATGCTTTCACCATGTGCTGGCTATGGAGTAGATACATTTCATCCCCCTTAAGGAATATACTTAAACATTACAAATAGGCAGTGAGCATTAGATGCTCCAGTGAGTGGATAAAGTGTTATTGTTAAATACTTTTTTTTTCAGGACATTTGATTAAAGGACTGTACCAAATCTCTGCCACTTAAGGATGTAATATATAATATAAAGTGGTTACAGATCTTATTATTCCTATACAAGCCATTAGCTCATTTAGAGCAGCTCTGAAGGCATAAAGCATTTTGATGGTAAGTGGGTTTTCAGTCCCACAAAAGCTGCTAATACTTTAGCAAAGCTAAATATTGACCAAGGATTGCAAACAGGCAAATAGCAGCCAGGAGCCTAGAAATTCAAGAGTCAGTGGTTAGTTTTCCCTATTAGAGACCTTTTGTTTAACCTTGAGGTTAGTAATGCTATATGTAAATAATAAAAATGTGACAGAAGCACTAAAAACAGAGATGAAGCAAAACCAAAAAGCTCTCTTTAGTAATTGAGCATCTGAGCAAAATAGTAGGAGCCTGTAACATTTCTGTTGCCCTCTTTGCAGGGACCTGAATGTTCTTCTTTGTGTCTCAGTGGGGCTGGTATTGCAGTTATCCTGTGTGTGAGGCAGGAAAGCTGTGAAGCAGGTAAATAGTCCTATTAAAGAAAAAAACGGTCTTTGAACAGGTAGATAAAGGCTTGCTCAGATCTTGTTTGCCTTTGGAAGCTTATTGGTTAATTATAAGTTGCACTGTGGTGGGGCTAAAATGGTTAATTGTCATGAGTAAAGTTCTTCTGACCCTTAAATAATATCTAATCCCCGTGGTTTCTGATGCTTTCTGTTCATAACAAAAGCATCTGAGAATCCTGTACCTCTTTGGAAGCTCATCTTGTTCTGCAGAGGTAAGAGCTTGTTCATCTTGTGCTTGTTATTTACCTTAAATGACACCTAGGCTCTCAGGAACCTGACGTGTGTTAAGGGTTACTGAAGTTATGGGAGCAGCTCTAGGGAAGGGTCGATTCTGTTCAGTCCCACAAGGAAATGTGCAGTCACGTTTTCTTGTAGTGCAATCATTTTATTCTCTTCACAAAACGACTTCATTTTGGTTCCTCTGTTGCTGTCAGCAGTTTTTGCACGGTCTCATAACAGTGCTCCTGTCCCCCCTGCGCTGAGCACAGGAGGGGAAGGGGCCAGGGAGCTTTGATTGCACATTAATATATGTAGTAAGCTTGGGTTTGTGTGTGTGAGCGTGTGAGTGATGGGAAAAGGTTACCCAACGTGTATGAAACTGCCAAAAACTAGGATTTGTCACATTGCTGGCTTTTGGAAAGACCCAAATCTGCACTTTGGAGTTTCTCTGGAGGAATTTCATTCTAATGGTGGAAGGCAGTGCAAGCCTCTATCTGATCAGACTCAGGGGGGATAGCGGGTATGGTGAGTCCTCCTTCCACCTCTGCTGTGTGCAGGGAGCGCGAGAGGTGGCATCTGCGGCGGGGCCTGGAGATGTGCTGGGCAAGGGGGCTGCTGCAGCAGCATCTCCTCTCTCCTAACCCATCGTGATGCCTGCAAAGGTACGGGCTGGATTGTGAATAATTCTTCCCCTACTTTGTTTTTGAAATGAACATCTGAAATTGTATGCAAATTCTCATGTTCCATCCTCGTGGACCAAAGCTGGAGGCTGCCTGCACCACGAATGTACCGAGGATGGTGAGTAAGGCACCTCCCCATAGCCGTGGGGAGAGGAGAGGCAGCCCGTGGCTGTCGCGGGCC